AATGTTTGCCGATGCAATAGACGACTTGGCGTTTGAGGCCATTATTAACAATTGGAGTGCTAGGCGCGATTCATTATCGGAAGTGCCCTCTAATTTCANGTCAGCATAAACTCCATGCAACCAGTATAAATGCGTGGATCAGATTTGGCGCGATCACCCAGGCCAATGGTTTCAATGACATTAATGTTTGCCGATGCAATAGACGACTTGGCGTTTGAGGCCATTATTAGCAATTGGAGTGCTAGGCGCGATTCATTATCGGAAGTGCCCTCTAATTTCAAAGTAAAGCGCTCGAAAAGCACTTGTATGATGGCAACATCAATATCATCAGTGGAAACCCATTCGCGCATTAAGCACTCCATGGCGGTGTAATGTCCGTACTCGAGTTCCGCAAGGAAGCGCATAAGATTTTGAACCACTTTGATGGCATGAGCTCTAAATAGGGGGATTGGAAAAATATTAAAGAGTTTAACATTTCCTCTCCCGCTTACCTGCCAGTTTGGTCGGTAGTAAATAGCACTTTCTTATAGGCGTTAGAAACAGCATCACGCTTNCAGGGGGATTGGAAAAATATTAAAGAGTTTTAACATTTCCTCTCCCGCTTACCTGCCAGTTTGATCGGTAGTAAATAGCACTTTCTTATAGGCGTTAGAAACAGCATCACGCTTCTCTTTGTCCGAGGACCAAACCAGATACAACATCCGACGCATACCACCTTCAGTGCCTTTTATACCAAACATATAACCAGTGGTGAAGAGATCAACGGCTTCAAATACATCTGAATTGGTTTTTGAGAGCAGCAGTTCTTGTATTTTCGGCACAGCCTTTGTAATGACCTTAGAGAACTCAATGGAGTCTTGCAGAAATTGGACGGTTTTTATTTGGGTGCCCAATTCTTCGTTCTATTATTAAAGATTAAAAAATGTTGAGTGTTATAGTGCCTTAACAGGCGTTAGAAAAAAACCTACACTATCCTTGCAACCGTTCGCCAAGAAGATATAAGACTTCAGTAGCGCCATGTAGTAAGCGCATTGCTCTTCCAGTTTCAAAGTGTGCCTGTGAGCAAATATAAGCAAACTATTTAATATTTTTATGTCGAATCATTATTACAATACATCTTGGGCAAAATCTTACCTCAATTCTGCATTTCCAGCCACCTGGTCAGCTTTACGTACCAAAACTACTGCCTCACGATATTNAAGTTGAGTAATACAATGCCTTCACAGGCGTTATAAAAAACCTACACTATCCTTGCAACCGTTCGCCAAGAAGATATAAGACTTCAGTAGCGCCATGTAGTAAGCGCATTGCTCTTCCAGTTTCAAAGTGTGCCTGTGAGCAAATATAAGACACACTATTTAATATTTTTATGTCGAATCATTATTATAATACAACTTGGGCAAAATCTTACCTCAATTCTGCATTTCCAGCCACCTGGTCAGCTTTACGTACCAAAACTACTGCCTCACGATATTTTTTTTCTAGCAAAAGTCCAGAAATGCGTTGTATCATGTCTTCGTAGTTTTCTTGTGTGTTCTCAGGTAGGTCTTCGGTGCCTGGAATGTAATAAAGAAGTATTAAACTTCATGAGTGGTTTTAATTAATTTTCTTTACTTACATTCCTTTAGGTGCTCTTCTACAATGGGTAATATTACTGGTATCAGAACATTCCACTTTTCATCCAGCTCATCTGCCTTTTTTCGCTCCTCCGCCAGCACTTCACTCAACTTTTCCATCTTCTCACACTCCTCACTATGCTTATTGATTAGCTCTTCCAAGGTAAGCTTCGCTGCAAAAGGATTGCGCTCCAAAAACGATTTGATCAACTGAACAGCGTGTTTTCGCACAGACGACGTTTTGTCCTCCAANATAGTTTTCTTGTGTGTTCTCAGGCAGGTCTTCGGTGCCTGGAATGTAATAAAGAAGTATTAAATGCACATCGACTTCATGAGTGGTTTTAATTGATTTTCTTTACTTACATTCCTTTAGGTGCTCTTCTACAATGGGTAATATTACTGGTATCAGAACATTCCACTTTTCATCCAGCTCTTCTGCCTTTTTTCGCTCCTCCGCCAGCACTTCACTCAACTTTTCCATCTTCTCACACTCCTCACTATGCTTCTTGATTAGCTCTTCCAAGGTAAGCTTCGCTGCAAAAGGATTGCGCTCCAAAAACGACTTGATCAACTGAACAGCGTGTTTTCGCACAGACGACGTTTTGTCCTCCAAACGATCTACTGCCTCACATAAAACTTTCAGTTGAAACGATAATGGCACTGCGTTTTCTTCCTTCATATTATTCCATATTTGGAGCACTTTAGCTCGCACGTGGGCTGAAACATCATTGATGTGTGCCAATAGATTTTCTAGAAACTCATTTCTAGCCTCTTTTAATTCCTCAGAGAGCTCTTCCGATGTCAGTTCACCCACAATAGCATCACCCATAATCTGCAATATGCAATTTCGCAGTGTGTGGGATTCGCAATTGAGCAGCTCATCGCATAGTGTTGAAAGATGAGGTATCATTAGCTTGGGTGCAATCGTAGCCAGTTCCATTAAAAAGTTGGAGAAGTTACGAGACACTGCCGTATCGGCTGAATCGACCGTCAACGTTTCTACAATATCCTTGATTAGCACCGAGAAAACGCTGGATATACCGTACTCTTCATGCAGCACATTTATGCCACTTGCAATAGATACAGCAGCATGCTCGGTGGTACGCAAAATTTGTAGCACGCGCACAGGAAAAGTAAGAGCATGATTGTAGCGTTTTATAGCAGTGCCGAATATTTGAAATACGGTATCTGTGATATGACGANCAAACTATTTAATATTTTTATGTCGAATCATTATTACAATACATCTTGGGCAAAATCTTACCTCAATTCTGCATTTCCAGCCACCTGGTCAGCTTTACGTACCAAAACTACTGCCTCACGATATTTTTTTTCTAGCAAAAGTCCAGAAATGCGTTGTATCATGTCTTCGTAGTTTTCTTGTGTGTTCTCAGGTAGGTCTTCGGTGCCTGGAATGTAATAAAGAAGTATTAAACTTCATGAGTGGTTTTAATTAATTTTCTTTACTTACATTCCTTTAGGTGCTCTTCTACAATGGGTAATATTACTGGTATCAGAACATTCCACTTTTCATCCAGCTCATCTGCCTTTTTTCGCTCCTCCGCCAGCACTTCACTCAACTTTTCCATCTTCTCACACTCCTCACTATGCTTCTTGATTAGCTCTTCCAAGGTAAGCTTCGCTGCAAAAGGATTGCGCTCCAAAAACGACTTGATCAACTGAACAGCGTGTTTTCGCACAGACGACGTTTTGTCCTCCAAACGATCTACTGCCTCACATAAAACTTTCAGTTGAAACGATAATGGCACTGCGTTTTCTTCCTTCATATTATTCCATATTTGGAGCACTTTAGCTCGCACGTGGGCTGAAACATCATTGATGTGTGCCAATAGATTTTCTAGAAACTCATTTCTAGCCTCTTTTAATTCCTCAGAGAGCTCTTCCGATGTCAGTTCACCCACAATAGCATCACCCATAATCTGCAATATGCAATTTCGCAGTGTGTGGGATTCGCAATTGAGCAGCTCATCGCATAGTGTTGAAAGATGAGGTATCATTAGCTTGGGTGCAATCGTAGCCAGTTCCATTAAAAAGTTGGAGAAGTTACGAGACACTGCCGTATCGGCTGAATCGACCGTCAACGTTTCTACAATATCCTTGATTAGCACCGAGAAAACGCTGGATATACCGTACTCTTCATGCAGCACATTTATGCCACTTGCAATAGATACAGCAGCATGCTCGGTGGTACGCAAAATTTGTAGCACGCGCACAGGAAAAGTAAGAGCATGATTGTAGCGTTTTATAGCAGTGCCGAATATTTGAAATACGGTATCTGTGATATGACGATTGTCAGAGCGTGGATGTACCAATTCTAGTGTGCGATAACAGATATCACAAACGAGATTCACGAAATTTTCCTCAGCTACAGGTGGATTCCAAAGTTTCTCTATCGGAAATTGCAAAATATTATAAAGTTGTACGAGAAAACGACCCCGCTTTGCATCCCAATCGGGATATTGCTCAAGTGTTTCAGTTTGTTTTGCACGCTTTTTCTGTTGTAGCTGCTGTTGTTGCTGTTGCTGCGCTTGTGTAGCTACACTATCCAAACGCCGGACGGTATTGACTTGTAGGAAGAGCGCCATTTTTGTGAGATTAAGATAACTCTGGCGGTCTTGTAAACTCTGTGCCACATCGCTGCAGGATAGTATCGGTGCTAAACGTTGACCCAGTTTGTCGACCGTGATGTACAGTAGATCGAAGCTACGCATAAGATTGGTAATGGTAGCGGGATCACAACCGCGACCTTCTATTATGGTGAAGTACGTGTCGAAATGATCAAACATGTAAAATGGGTCCCCTTGTTGTACCATCTGTTTGCATGCTAATGGAGTTAAGACACGACAGTTTAAAGGCAAGCACTTTTTTGCCGCCACGAAAATGTACTTACCGCGTAAACGCTCACCAATTTCATTAGGAGCATAGACTTGCTTGACATAATAGCTATCCCCGCTTGAGTTCAGCAGTTCTGCATTGGTTGTTGGTAGCACGAATTGGAAATCCATTGCGTGCTCCTTTTCCGTGGAGATTTGTGGGTACTTCTATATTTTTGCGACTTCGCACTGTAATTTTTTCTTGTTTTTAAAGGGAAACTCACAAAAATTGCGCGAAAGCAAGCAGAAAAAACAAAACGCTAAAATTGGAAAACTTTTCTGGCGTCCGCTGTCAAAATTGAATTAACGTCAAAGGCAAACAAATGACGCTGAAAAGCACAGAGTTGATTAGAGTACAGTACGATTGGAAAACATGTACGATCGATAGGAATTGCGCAAACCAGAAAACCGTCTGATACTAAAAATTCTTTAATAGATCAACTTCATTTTTTTTCATTTTCGGTTGCCTTGTGTAATTAAAATCAATATATTGATGTTTGAAGGAGAAACATTTTTTTGAGGAAATTTATTAATATATACTTAACATTTTTGAAAGCAGATTTGAAACTAAGAAATGTGTTCTACTACGCTTGATGTAATTTTTTTACTTTCCTTTCTTACGCCTGGCGCCCTTTCCATCGCTTCCTCCACTCCCACCTGCACCACCTTTAGCGCCCATAATCGGAGGACCGCCACTTACTTTTTGCATACGTTCTACTTTCATATCTTTTAATTTGGATTGAAGCCGTTTCTTTGCCTGCGCCAAATCTGCTTCTGCTCGCACTGTCTTCGCAGGTTTAGGATGCAGGAATTTTACCCGTTCCTCTCGTTTCACTGCATCGCCGCATCCGTGCACTTCTGGTAGTCCGTGCTTGAAACAAAATCTCTTGCGACATAGTTCGCAATCTTGTCCCATAAGCTTTGTCTTGGTTTTGCAGCGCGGATAATCACACAAGTTGTCTACATCTTTCACCGCGGTCAATACATCATCCAGCTTTAAATTTACCACCTCAGTGGGAATGCGTTCCAATAGCTCTAAGGTGTTATTGGTACCATAATCGGGACGGCTCTTACCGGGCGCTATAGGGAAGAGTGGGGCATCTTGAACTTCATCGGGAGAGCTTAGTTTCTTAGTAGCTAAATTATTGGCAGTCGATTTATTTTTAATATCTACGTTTGGAAAAGGTAATGAAATAAATTAAATATAAATTTGTTTATGTTTACCTTCCCGATCCATTCTTTCTCGAGTTTGTTTACAATTGAAATGAAATTATCGAGACAGCTGATTTTGACATTTTTAATCAAACGCTGTTGACGTTAAAGCAAGACGCAAAGATCCGATTACTTTTCGGGGTAACCGTTTGTAGAAGTTTGTATGAGTACAGTGTTTATTTGCACGTCTGTAACTTATTCTGCAAATAAACTGATTGATTAAATTTTCTGCTGATTAAATTAAATTAAGTTTAATTCCAATCGCTCTAAATGTATAAAAAAAACAGCATAAAAAAGCGCTATTTAACAGGAACGAAAGTAATAATTTTTTAATAATTTTCTTTTTAATTTTAAACAAAAAAAAAAAAAACAAAATTTAAGTGTCGTAAAACAGTTGAGGGATTCACAACGGTGTTGCAAGTATCGTATTGTTGTATGTCGTAAACTTTAAAAGCTTAAATAAATGTTTAGGGAACTTGAATGTACAACCAACTATTCTTTAACAATGCAAAATCTGATAATATGACTGTGATGGTACTTTGCGAACCATCTTAATATGATTTTTAGGCGTTTAAAATTTGCGACATACAACAACATTTACGACACCGTGGTGAATACCCCAAATGTTTACCAAACTCACATATTTGTATTCGTACGTCCTACTGTAATCTATAATTTTGTTTCCTTGGTTTAACAATTAAACACCAAAGCTAATAATTAATATTTGGGTTTCATTTTTTGCTTAAAAGAAATTCTTTCCACCATGACTTAGATTTTTTTTTAATCAAAAATAATGCCTATTTTATGATTTTTATTTTTTCAGATTTAGTTTTTCGCTTAAAAAAGCTGTACTAGCGTGATATCCGACTTATCGTTTTCAAATGTAGTGACACCATAATAAAAGCAATGTCCTAAAACTTTCAGGTAAAAATTTGAGTTTGCATATGTAGGGCCTTCAAAATTTGATAAATACATAATCACTATTTTTAAGTGTAAAAATAAAAGATATGTATCTCTGAAAAAAGTCATAGAATAATAATTTGTTATCGAAAAACATTGAGCGTAAAAAATAAAGCTCAGTAGTAAATTATTTGAAAAATAAAATAATTTAAATAATGATTTAATTTCGATTTAAATTATTTTACTTATAATGATTGCTATTTAATCATAAAAACGCTAAAAAAAACAAATAGGTATAATGAAAAAACGTTTTATTTTTTAAAAGAAATTCAATTGATAATATCCTTAAATAGCTTATCGACCTTCTGCTCCTTATTCGCATGCAAACTCGCCTTCCATTGAGTCGCGGACAACCTATATGTCTCCACCCGGAATTTATTATACAGTAGTCTTCCGAAGGGTGAACCCTTTAACATGTTCACCTTATCTGCCAGCTCTTTTACTATTCTCGACTTTTGTGATTCTTGTGCGACCGCAAAACAGCTCTCGATTACACGCGAACCAAACTTAGTGGTAGCTAAGTCAACATAGAAGCCCTCCAAATTTCTAATGAATTTTTCGCGTGATTTCTCGCCAATATATTTGCTCTGTAGGAATGCATCCACTATATGCGAACCATTTGGTGTATTAAATATGCTCACAAGTTGTTCAGGAGGGGTCTCCAGTATACAGTTGACCAAGAAAATAGGTTTATTGAAGCGTAAAATGTGCTGTACTATTAATGAGCCATGAAGATGGACGAAACCGCTGTTGTCCGCTTGCGCCACCTCATATGGCTTCAATTTGATCATACAATGGAAAAAACACTTCACTTTTACTTTATCGCTTGCAGGTGTATGAAGCGCAGTTTGGAGTGAAACAATGCATTGTGCTTGTTTTGCACCAACCCGTAAGCAGGCAGCTGTGAGCGCTTCCACAACACCGGTATGCCCAATTTTAAGTAACTCCTCAACGTCGTTTACCAATTCGCTGAAAACGTTTTCGAAATCATCTTTTTCCTTTATATTTTGCAGAAGTTTTTGAACTGCAAAATTGGTAAGGGGTTCTTTCGCCAGCAGAGCCAAGCGTCCAGTGAATAGCATGGCATAGAGTTGAGTGAATAGCTTGGGACCTGCAACAGTAAGCAATGTCTCGAGCAAGATGACGGCTGATTGGTATTCAAATACTTTTGGGAGTTGAATCTTATTAATAGGCTCCTCTCTTTTTTCATTTGCTTCCTCTTCTGCTATTGTATCGCTGTTGTTTTCAGCCGATTTCTCGTCTTCATCATCTAATATTTCTATTTTCTTTTTCTTCTCTTCTTCACTTTGCTCAACCTTTAGAAATGCGTTCATTAATATTTTTTTGCCAAAGTGTTTCAAGAGTTGTTTGTCGGTTGCACGTAGAGCTATGCAAATAACACCAATCAACGCTGAAGAATGTTCTTGGTAGGGAAAATCAGGAAATTGGGGCCACATCTCTAAACGTTGCGGAAACTCTTTAAGTACATCCACCCACTCATCGGGTACAGTGTACAACTTTCGATTTTTAGCCATATCTGCCCCACCTTTTTCGAAAGCTACTTTAGCGACATGCACGCCAGCCAAACTAAGGATGCTAGTACGCATTATGTGATTAGCACATGAGTCCCAAACAAAGTCTTCTAAATTGTTGAGTAAGAATTTACTCACGCGCTCAACAAATTGACTGCAACGAAGACGATGCTCAGAGTTAAAGTCAGCCTCAAGATTGTATAATTCTTCGTTGATTGCTGTTACCTCGGTTTTTGCACGCTTAGCCACGGGCGTATATGAGATACCATTCGCATCATCATCGCCATCTGCAGGATTCTTTAATTTATCTTTCCCCAAAGCGCGTAAGAATGCAATCTCCACCATTTTTTGCAAAACATGTGACGCAAAACGATCAGAACAAATAGGTCGGAAATTTTCAGCAAAAACACTAAAGAAGCGCTCTAAATTTTCCGCATCCACGAAACCAATCAATGACTCCAGAACTTTACACACAATCTGATTCGAGGCTAGATGAATTTCTTGATCGTTGGTTTGGTCGAATACGTTATTGGCCATGTTGACTAAAAATAATTCAAGTGGTAAAATGTACTATGGTAATTCAAAAATAAGGCCTATGTACCTTTTTCCTCTAGGTCTTCAAAGCCTGTTTTCATCGCGTCCAATATATTGATGAAATAATTGTACTGATCATCATCGATGTGTGTGCCGCGACCATAGATACCCTGTTTAGCAAAACCCTTTGCATTTCGCAGAAACCTACTATTTTTCTTCTTTTTCTTTTGTCGCCGTTTGTTGTTATCCATTGCAGATCCATTAATTTCAGTTTGCATAATTGTATTTATTAAATTTCGTAAAATTGAAAATGCTCCAATTCCCCACTAGAACGTGTTTTTTGTGTTATCTGTCAACATTTGTAACAAAACAAAACGAATAAACATGCGGAAATTAGTGCTGCCAAATTCTCAACTAGAATGCAACCCAGCCAGTGCATGGATGTCCCCACTTTATTGCTAGAGATTCCCACTTTTACCAGTATTTTACTTTCTACCATTTTTACAAACAAAGTCTATAAGTCTACCAATATTTTCCAGCAAGAAAGCACATAGATTTAATTGAAAGCGGTGTATACATACACTAAGAATAAAAATGAAAAACCAACTCTTTCCGTAATATCCTGAGCTCCTTTTTAAATAAATACAGGACCTGAATCATGCCATCCGTGATCGAATAAAATTTGAATCGAAATTTCTACATATTACGACGGCATTTTGTACCGAGTTCGCTTTTTCAATTTAAAATGTATTTGAGAGTAAGCAGCTGTCAATTTGTATCATTCGATTCGAATCGATTTCATTCGATAACGGTTGCCGTGAAGTATGTTTTTTGTTGAATTTTTTATTGGCGTGAAATACATTTGATGGTGTTTTATATATCCCAATGCGAATTCATAAAATGTATCTGAGAGTAAACAGCTGACATTATGTATCATTCGATTCGAATCGAGTTTCATTCGATGACGGATGCCGTGATTTGGTGTCATTTTTATGTTTTTTTTTTTTGTTGAATTTTTTATTGGCGTGAAAAAAATTTTCTGTTGTTTTATATATCCCAATGCGAATTAATATAAGGTGATAGAAGGATTTCAAAAACCAAAATTGCCCTACCAACTTTACAGTTCCTTGTATATGTAAAAACTAACACTACTTATTGAGAGTCCGTGCACTGAACTCAGCGCAGCAAATGTTTTGTTTGTGCGTCAAAAAGAAATTAGACAAACAGCTGTTTGAGGAGGTAATTTCTGAACTTTTGTAGATTTTAATAAATTTAATTCGATCTATTTTGTACATTTTGTAGCATTCCCTTCGAATAAGCTTGAGTAATCATGTTTTCACTTTGTAAGCAGTCACATCCAGCCACAGGGGTGGAATTTTCAATCTGCTGTCGTTTCTTCAACAATTCAGAGGAGAACCTGGTCATAGCAGGCGCCAATATACTCAAAGTGTATCGTATTTTTCCACATCTTGATGTTGCACAACGCCAAAAGTTGCTTAATATTAATGACTTGCGAGCTCCACCCAAAATGCGGCTTGAATGCCTCGCAACTTATACCCTCTACGGCAACGTGATGTCCCTGCAGAGCGTTTCGTTAGCGGGATCGTTGCGCGACGCGCTTCTCATTAGTTTTAAAGATGCCAAATTATCTGTAATGCAACATGACCCGGATACATACGCTTTGAAAACATTGTCCTTGCACTTTTTTGAAGAAGAGGACGTGCGCGGTGGTTGGACCGGTCGCTATTTTGTACCAATGGTACGCGTGGACCCAGATTCCCGTTGTGCAGTGATGCTGGTGTATGGTAAACAGTTGGTGGTGTTACCCTTTCGCAAAGACAACAGTTTAGACGAAATAGAGTTGGCTGACGTAAAGCCTATTAAGAAGACTCCTACAGCTTTGGTAGCACGCACACCAATACTTGCCTCGTATTTAATAGCTTTACGAGAACTGGATGAAAAAATTGACAACGTGCTTGATCTACAATTTCTCTACGGTTATTATGAGCCCACACTGCTGATACTCTACGAGCCTGTGCGAACATTTGCCGGACGTGTGTGCGTACGTTCCGATACATGCGTACTTGTAGCCATATCTTTGAACATACAGCAGCGTGTGCATCCTGTGATCTGGACTGTAACAGGATTACCGTTCGATTGCTTACAAGTGTTCCCAATACAGAAACCTATTGGTGGATGCCTCGTGACGACGGTGAACTCCATAATTTACCTTAATCAAAGTGTGCCGCCTTACGGTGTAAGTCTTAATAGTTCAGCGGATCATAGTACAAGTTTTCCACTTAAACCCCAAGATGGCGTACGAATTTCTCTGGATGCGGCCAATCTTACATTCATTGATATTGATAAATTAGTTATCTCGCTTAAAGGTGGCGAGCTATATGTACTAACATTATGCGTTGACTCTATGCGTACGGTGCGCAATTTCCATTTTCATAAGGCAGCAGCTAGTGTGCTAACCAGTTGCATGTGTGTCTGTCAGTCGGAATATCTTTTTTTGGGGTCACGTTTGGGAAACTCATTGTTGTTGCACTTCACGGAGGAGGACCAGAGCACTGTAATAACATTGGACGAAGTGGAAACAAAGGAAATGGCAGCAGCTAACGACGAATCTGTGCCGAAGGCGCGACGTATTGAAGACGAAGAGTTAGAGGTAGGATTGTAGATTCAGCATTTGTTAAATCCTTGCCAATACAATCTTTTTTTAGGTATATGGCACCGGCGCCAAGACCTCGGTTCAATTACGCAAATACATTTTCGAAGTTTGCGACAGTTTGCTTAATGTTGGTCCCATCAATTTCATGTGCGCTGGAGAGCGAGTTGAATTCGAGGAAGATGGTGTTACTCTACGACCGCATGTAGAGAATTTGGCTGAGCTGAAGATTGAAGTTGTCGCTTCTAGTGGTCATAGTAAAAATGGCGCAATTTCTGTATTTGTAAACTGTATTACACCCCAAGTCATTACCAGTTTTGAGCTCGAAGGATGCTTAGACGTATGGACTGTGTATGATGATGCCAGCAAAAAGACTTCACGCCAGGACCATCATGATTTCATGATCCTGTCGCAACGCTCATCATCGCTGGTACTACAAACTGCTGACGAAATCAATGAAATAGAGAACACAGGTTTCAGCTGCCAACAGCCAACAATTTTCGTCGGAAACCTTGGTCAAAATCGTTTCATAGTACAGGCAACAACCCGTAATGTGCGATTGCTTCAAGGGACGCGCCTCATACAAAATGTACCTATTGATGTAGGCTCCCCAGTGGTGCAGGTCTCCATTGCGGATCCATATGTTTGCTTGCGTGTATTGAATGGTCAAGTTATAACTCTGGCTCTTCGTGAAACAAGAGGTACACCTCGACTTGCAATAAATAAGAATACCATCAGCAGCATGCCAGCAGTAATTGCGATTGCCGCATATAAGGATTTGTCTGGTTTGTTCACTGCGAAGTCAGATGATGTGCTCAACTTGACGGGCAGCGGTGGTAACTCATTATACGCTGGCTTGGGTTATATGAAAGCAGAGCCACATATGAAAATCGAGGATGAAGAGGATCTGTTGTACGGCGAATCAGGCAACGCTTTCAAAATGAACAGTTTGGCCGAACTTGCAAAGCAGTCCAAGCAGAAAAACACCGATTGGTGGCGTCGTTTACTGCCCCAAGTGAAGCCTACTTACTGGCTGGTTACTGCTCGCGAATCGGGTACTTTGGAAATTTATTCAATGCCCGATATGAAGCTAATGTATTTGGTGAATGATGTGGGCAATGGCGGTATAGTGCTTAGCGACTCAATGGAGTTTGTACCCGTGCCGCTTAGTAACCAAGAAAATAGCAAAGCTGGTATACTATTGAATTGCATGCCGCAGCATGCAAATTCGCCCTTGGCACTGGAAATCAGCATGGTGGGTTTGGGTAACCAGGGAATGCGTCCATTGCTTTTGATACGCACGCGGCTCGAATTATTAATATACCAAGTGTTCCGCTATCCCAAAGGTCATTTGAAAATACGTTTCCGTAAATTGGAAACCCTCAACTTGCTGGACTTGCAACCAACCAGTATGGAAGTGGATGAAAGTGAGCTGGAATCATACAATCTACAAGAGCGATATGTTAGCAAGCTACGGTACTTTGCTAACATAGGTGGGCACAATGGTGTTATGGTTTGTGGCGTGAATCCACATTTCCTTTTTCTCACACCGAAAGGTGAGCTGCGCGTGCACAAATTCTTTGGACATGGAGTGATTCGTAGTTTTGCGCCTTTCAACAATGTTAACTGTCCCTATGGTTTTTTGTATTTTGACCACACGACAGAGCTAAAGATATCTGTACTACCTACTTATCTTACCTATGATTCTGTGTGGCCCGTGCGGAAAGTGCCGCTACGTTGTACGCCACGCCAAATAGTCTATCATCGAGAAAACCGCGTTTATTGTCTGATTACGCAGACTGAAGAGCCTACTAATAAATACTATCGCTTTAATGGGGAAGACAAGGAATTGACAGAGGAAAATAAAGGTGAACGTTTTATCTATCCCAATGCTTCTAAATTTGCTATGGTGCTTATGAGCCCAGAGACATGGGAAATAGTGCCAGACGCTTCCATACAATTCGAGGAATGGGAGCATGTGACTGCTTTTAAAATCGTAAAACTCGCTTACGAAGGCACACGCTCCGGCCTCAAAGAGTACCTTTGTATTGGCACGAATTTCAACTACAGCGAGGACATCACTTCACGCGGTAACATACACATTTATGACATCATCGAAGTCGTTCCTGAACCAGGTAAACCTCTTACGAAATTTAAATTGAAGGAAGTTTTCAAGAAGGAGCAAAAGGGTCCCGTCTCGGCGATATCGGATGTGCTTGGCTTTCTAGTAACAGCGCTCGGTCAAAAGATCTACTTGTGGCAGTTGAATGATGATGACCTCATTGGTGTTGCATTTATTGATACAAACATTTATGTGCATCAGATAATTTCGGTCAAGTCGCTAATTTTAATTGCTGATGTATACAAATCCGTCAGTTTGTTGCGTTTTCAGGAAGACTTCCGCACACTCTCACTAGCGTCACGTGACTTTAATCACCTGCAGGTCTATAACATTGAATTCATGGTGGACAACAACAATTTAGGTTTCCTAGTAACAGATGTTGACAAGAACTTCCTAGTGTACATGTACCAACCAGAGTCACGGGAATCGATCGGTGGCCAGAAGTTGATACGCAAAGCCGACTACCACCTCGGTCAGGCGGTGAATACAATGTTTCGTGTACAATGTCATCAACGCGGTCAACATCAACGTCAACCATTCCTCTATGAAAATAAGCATCTTGTATTCTTTGGCACATTAGATGGTGCACTTGGCTACTGTCTACCACTGCCGGAGAAGGTATACCGGCGATTTTTGATGTTGCAAAATGTATTGCTCTCATACCAAGAACATCTTGGCGGTTTGAATCCAAAGGAGTTTCGTACAGTAAAGTGCTCGAAAAAATTATCACTAAATCCATGCCGTTGCATAATTGACGGTGATCTAATTTGGTCATACACAATGATGTCTACCGCGGAGAAAAACGAGGTGGCAAAGAAAATCGGTACGCGTACAGAAGAAATTCTCGCTGATCTTTTGGAGATCGAACGTATTGCAGCGGTATTTTAAGACATTTGAAAACTAATTTAAAAAACATTTTTATATTTTAAAATATGTAGTATATATAAGAAGATCAGACGATAAGTTATGTGTACGATAAAGCGCCGTTTGCATGTTAAGTGCAACAAATAACATCAAAGTGTTTATACTTTTCATTCTTAAATGCTTATATAGCTTTTCATAGCTATGTAATCTTGAAAACTACTATAATCCATCATCGATTCGTTACTTCGCTGCTTGCTATGCTTGAGTTCCGGTCGCATAACGAATTTTATATGTGAAAGCAACAACAACTTAGCTAACAGGGATAAGCGATAGCGAGTTGGGTGTTTCGTTTGTTTCGCCACTAGCTAGCTGTTAGCTAATCGATACCATACTTTAATTCCGTTAAAAAAAGAATTTCGTGGTTAACTTCCTGCTGCCATAAATTTTTTTACCACTACATACAACTTCGGACAGGATATAATGCTGACTACACACGAAGCGACCATTGAAGCAACGTGTTGATGCAACCTGTTTTTCTTGTTCAATACACACGGCACAACCGTAGAAGCAACCATAGCGGCAACCTCAGTAGCAAGGCGAATTTATACAAGGTGGTGTTACTGGCGAATTTAGATTACAACAACGACAACCATACGTATTTTGTATGGAGGGTGTTATGTCAAATCTCAATTCGCTCCAAAATGTACATGTATTTTGTTTTTGCTTTTGATGGGTGTGCTGTCAAATCAGTAAAAGCAAAAACAAAATAAATGTAAGGCGAAGAAATCAACTGATTTTACAACACCACCTTGTATAAATTCGCCTTGCTCAGTAGTGTGTAATATATTTTAAAATGCGAAAGTTAGAGAGTGTTGCAATTTTCTTTCCCTTTTCCTCCTTGAGCGAAGAATAGCTGCAATTTGACATTTTTGTACCGAAAGCGAAAACAAAACACAAATGTAGTTTTTTTTGTACTACCGCTACCACCTTCTATGAGCAACAATGCTACACACGAGGCCACAGTCTAAGCCAAGGCGAATTTATACAAGGTGGTGTTGATGGCGAATCTGAGTATCCGCCGCGGTACTTCCTAATGTCAAAATGATGTGTTTGTTGTAAACAAAGCGAATTCATACTACAACAAACACATCATTTTGACATTGGGAAGTACCGCGGCGAAAATCTAAATTCGCCATCAACACCACCTTGTATAAATTCGCCTTGGTCGAAGCAACATGCACTGGTTGCCTCAACGGTTACCTCGTGTGTAGTCAGCATAAGAGATAAGCTGTTTTTATTTTGATTATGTACTTTTTGCGCCCGCCGTTTTCTTTTGCCGTTCAAACTAAAATAAGCAAGTGCCATCAAAAACTCAATCATAATCACTTGAGTGAAAATTTACGCGTTTTTGTGTGATAGTAAAGTTTTATTAAAGCAAAGAAGAAAGAATTCAAAGTAGTAAAGTGAATAAAAAGTGATTAAACTAATGTGAACAAATTTTACGGGGACAGCTTAGTCTTTTTGAAGCGAAGCCTGGAAGCTAGAAAAGTTTTTGAGCCAAAGGTAAGCTTAATTTAAAATTATTTACGTATAACTATAAAACGGCATATCGTAGAACTGCCATATTTTCGGTTGCTTCTTATCGACTACATATCGGATGCAACGTTGAACGAAAGTCCCATTCTGATATTCGTGGCATCTAATAATTGGATAACCGTTAGCGAAACACTTTTTCCTTGCGCTAAAGTAGACGCGTCCCATTGTACTTGACATCGTATCGTTGGCGGCTTGCAAGCAGTTTAAGAAATTTTGCTCGCAAGTGCATTTCAAGCTGAAAATGTTCATGTTTATAAAATTTCTTTTATTACTGTGTATGTATGTATGTATGTACATATGAGTGCTTCCATGATGTCCCTGCAGGGGTGACGTTAGCTTATACCTAACTTTAGTTGGTTTACGCGAACACTAGTTCTAACTGTATATTTTGTTCGAAAAAAGCTAATTACTTTTGAGGGGCGATGGCCGCAAAAAATTCAGACCTGGATACATCTGAATTACATGTCAACTAGCTGCTTGTGGACATTAAATATCAATAAAAAAAAAACATTTTGTAAATTTTTTTTTACATTTTTATTCAACCTTGCATATTCGTTTACATATTCTGCAGTAGTTGGTCCTATATTAGAATTCCGTCAGACTTAACATCAAAAAGATAATATAAAATTTCAAACTTCATTTTATTTATCCTGAATTCGAAAAAGAATTTGTGAAGTGGAGAAAAAGTAGTTTTTGTATGAGGATTTTTAAATATAAACTTATAAAGAAAACAACCTTCCGATTGCGTCTGCATGACTCCTGCACGACTTTACAGCTCACTTTAAGTTGGTTTTGTCATAGCTAATTAAAAGTGAGGTATTTATCAAAATCCCGCCAAAAAGCTAATTACAAGTCGGTTATTTTTAACAGCTGATAATTTTTCACTGCAGTGGTCGGTCATGACATTCGTACGAATTTATGGTTAAATAAATCGTACGAAAACAGAAGTCACTTATGAAAAAAAAATCGCCGTTGTGTAGCTTTAATACCGTACTTTAGAGGACAAAAAAAAATAGGGGCGATTGGAACACTGGTGTCGGGAAAATCGATGAAAAGGGAGTCATAGCGGACGTGACAAAAACCTCAGTGGTTTCAGAGTTCATGTAAATATTAGCAAGAGTGCGAATCCTGTGATGTTTTCCTTTCTTAAACATTCTTTAAATAAAGACAAATTACGGACCATTACAACCAATTCATATTTAATCAGAATCGTTGTTGGTTTCACTTTAAATTAAAATGTGATAACGGACGTAACAGATTTTACCCATATACAATATTTTTACTAATAATACATATACTTTTACTCACAAAATTGAGTATACGGTTTGTTTTTTGTTAATATTCGCAAAGATTTACATGCTAAAAATTTTTTGTAAATTTTGTATTAAAATATGGCTTGTACTTTAGTAAACCTTATTTAAAACTATACGAAAATTAGGAAAAACTACACGAAAATTAGGAAAAATCTGCAAAGTCTCAGCAAAATTGCAAACTTTTTAATAATAATTTCAGAAATCAGGTGTGCAGTTTTATAGCCTATTTAAATTTTGTACAAAAGTGTTCAAACTTTAAATGTCTAAAAATTCGAGTTGATTTTTGAGAATTTTTTCGCTGGCTGTCCTACGCATTTGGTCCATATAAAGTATTTTCAGAATTTGCTTAGAACAGTCTGTAAAAAAAATCTCAAAAATCAACGCGAATTTTTCGACATTATAATTCTATAATTCTAATTATAAGATCTATAGAAATTCGCACATTATTGTACTAAAATTTAAAGGGCTATAAAACTGCATACTTACCTGATTTTTTTTTTAGGTCTTATTAAAAGTTTTGCTGAAACTTCGCAGATTTTTTCTAATTTTCGTATACAGTTTCACACTTGGATTTAAATAAGGTTTACTAAAATACAAGCCATATTTTAATAAAAAAATTTACGAAAAATTTTTAGCTTGTGAAACTTTGCGAATATTAGTGTCCGTAAAAAGTTTCATACTTTAATTTAAATGGGGTTGCTAAAATATAAGCCATACTTTAATACAAGATTAGCAAACAAAATGTTTGCATGTAAAACATTACGAATATTATAAAAAAAAACCGTATAATTTAATATTTTGTTAAATTGTTTTCACTTCTCCACCGTTTCGCCTTTTCATAACCTTTTTTCAGCATCTTAATACGAAATTTAAAGTTATAAAGTCATTTGAATCCATTTATTTGTATTTTTAGTTTAAATTTTCATGGAAACACCCATATGCTATGGCGATCCATTGAGGCATACTTACATACAGAATAAGTCCGTGCTGTTCAGTTCGTATAAAGTTTGCCCTGGTTCTAATATCTCTTCACAGTGGTCGTGAGCGCGACAGCATGTGTCCGTCTCACGCTGTGTACCCAAATCATCGTAATCTGCAGCGCTATCACCAGGACCACACCATTTTGTACCTGGTACTGTTATGCCAGTGAAAGGAAGTGGTGGTAATGCTGGATTGTTTATGTCTTCATCTTCGAATATAGACTCATCTTCGAATATAGACTCATCTTCGAATATAGACTCATCTTCAAATGCGCAGGCAATCGTAGCCAAAAGAATGAACACTGGAAATCCAAATTTAAGGCACAACATGCTGTTTAGTGAATTGTTAATAGACTGAATTATGAATGCAAAAAAATCACAGTCTCAAGCAGCTATATATCTCAGATCATTCAGAAAGCCTAATTAAACGTGAGCGGGACTAATACGACATATGACCTTGCGATGAAATTTCAGTTTTACGATCATTCAATATTTACTTAGGCATACGAGTGGATTTTTATAAGTACATATGTACGTACATACATCTTGCTCATTTACTAAAAGGCTGGCATAACTCAAAAAACGATATAGCTCCGGAGGCATGTTTAAAGTTTTCAATTTAATCGCAAAATGAAGAACATTGAGCTGCATATTCACTTCCCACGCGGAAACTATACAATAATTATTATGCACCAAATTTTTAAATAATATGAAGCATTCTATAACGAGTACTTGCGCATCATTAGCTCAAAAATTAAGTTTTTTGAGATGCGACAGTCCCTTAGTCAATGAGCGATATGAATACAATATTTTCTCAACCAGGCAATTTGATGCAAAAACTAGGCCCGTGAGTTATATCCGGATATTCGAATATCTGAAATTACGATTATCCAGATATCCGAATAGTGTGCTGATATTCGGATATTGGAATCTAAAATTTTACGAATCTTTTCAAATACTTTTTTGAATATCCGTATAATCAAATGAGCGGATATTAACGGGATATTCGCATTAGAAAATGAACAAATTTTAAGCGGATATCCGTAATATTTGTAATTTATCCGTATACTCGACTATCTGAACGGATCTCCGAATATACGTATATAGTCCCAACCCTAGCAAATACAAGATGTATGTAGTAGGGATGTTAATTTTTCGGCTTTTTCCGATCCCGGGATTTTCGGGATGGCATTGTCACAATCCCGGGATCCTGGGGTTGGTCCCGGGATTTAAATATTCATTACTTTTCAACAACTTGAATCGAAAAAATTGCTTCTATATTGTTTGAGAAGCTCTCCTACCAAGAAATAAATAATAAATAAATGGGTTTGAAACCTACTTTTTTATTTAAAGTGGCGTTTTTGTTTTATTATTTTTTCACTGAAAGCACGATTTATTTTGAAGGACTTTATAACTTCAGATATATGATTAATTCCAAAACTTGCTAAAAAAAATCAATGCAATGTAGAACAAAAATATGGATAACAAATGCAATAGGAAATCTTTTTAGAATTTAAAAAATTTAAATTTTTTTGATTCACAAGAACGAATAGGTAATTTTTAAGCTGACAAAGTTAGAAGAACGCAATTCGAGGCCGTTATCGAGTTTATATTAGCCCTTAACATATAATTTTTTCAAAAACAAATATTGCGAAATTTCAAGCATAAAATTTTAAAATTACATTTTCAATATTTACCAGCCCTTCTGCACCAGAAACTTGAATCTGTTTAAATTCTACAGGATTTCCTTATTAATTTTATACCCATACTTCTTCTCTAAGCACATTTCTATGCATTTTTTAAATAATTTTTGGATTACTGACGTCAGAGTGAAAGACTAAAAACGCAATTTTTTGTATAATGAGCTAGACATTTATAAAAAAATATTAATTATTAAAGTAAAAACGAAATATAGCCAATACTGGCCAAGAAAAGGAGTTTCTATTATTGCCATCAGTGCAAATTACAAATCCCGAAAATCCCGGGATTACTTGTCAAGAATACCGGCATTTTCGAGACCTTAAAAAGTCCGGGATTCCGGAATTAACATTCCTACTATAAAGGTATGTATAGATAGATAGAGGTACTAAAGCAGAGGTTCCCAATCTTTATTTTCTCTTAGACCCCTTTCAAAACTTTACTGGTTTCGGTGGACCCTTCCCCATCTAACATATTTATTCCCAAAGCTCACCAAATATAAATATAAATAAATATGAAAATTCGCAGCGTGCGTGAGTTCCAAAAATAAATTCGGAGTGCCAAAAATAAATATAAAATATTTTCTTTCGTTCTATTTATTAAAATAATGTGACTACACACTTGCAAGTTTTAAAAAACAGAGCTCGTAAAGCCATCAAAGTACTATCTCGCCCTGGGGTTATATTTTTTAAGAACACTCCATAAACTCCTCACATGTTCGGCTCGCTCCTGACTTTGCTATTTGCAAGAAGTTTTAAAGTGATGAGAAAAATAGTTTATCCCCATTAACTTCGAAAAAGATTCCCCCTCAGGGAACTCAGCATTATGCTCAAATCTCTGCCGCCAGCAATTTCCGCCTCGTGCAGCAGTGCACTAAACACCACTCAAAAAAATTTAAGTTAAATAAAGAGGCTATCAAGCAACCATTTTGGTTATTTACTATCGAAACAGGATACATTGTCGTGGACCCGCACTTACAACTCGTGGATCCCCATATTTTTTTAACGCCAACGTAGACCGCCGTCGAGTTGCCCGTGAACCCTTGGGGGTCCACCTGGACCACTTTGGGAGTCGCTGTACTAAAGTAATATGCACGTAAAAGCTTTGCCTGCAATTACATGGCCTAATAGGATTTCGAGACCGGCCATAACTTAACTCTGCAATTAAACAAGAAAATAGAATAAACAGATGATTTGGAATTTTTTCATCATACAATCATTACTTTCGACAACACAAGAAATTTTAATAGTTATTAACAGGGAACGGATTTCTAGGATCTATTTAAAAAAAAAAAAGCAAAATATACTAGCAAAATAGGCAGGAAAAGGCTCTTGAAAACGCTAACAAATCCCAAAGGGGAGAAAAAATGTTATAAAAACCGAAAAATAGACAAGAAACACGAGAAAAATTGTACAGACTACTGTTTTCTAACAAAAAACATTCTTTGGTTAGACAAAATTTTAAACGAAAAAATCAAGAGTAATAAAATGCCGGAAAATGGGAGAGAAATCTTCAGAAAAGAAAACATTTCTACAAGGGAATTCCATGTAAAAGAGGAAAACAACATAAATTTAAAATGCCTTTTTTCAGTAGTAACGCGTTTTTAAATGATAACATTTCGTTAATCTGTCGAAAAAGTAATAAAAAAAAATAAAAAGAAGCTGTATTTTTAGTCTATAGAAACTTTTACTTCATACATATGTAATTATTTTACATCAGTCACAAGGACCTATCTGGCGGAGTCACAATTTTAAATCTTTTTAAATATTTCTATGAAGATTAATTGTATCAGCTTAGTTTTTAATGAAAACGAAAGTGTAAATTTTACTACACAAAAATTGTGGCTTTGAAATTAATTGTTTTGGCTGAAATTCGTCTTTAAGTGCAAAAAGTTTAAGGATTTTCGATGTCCCACAAGCGCCAGTCATTCAAGTTATAGTTACAAAGAATTTAGGATTCGCTTGGTATTTTTTTAGAGGAATTTTATAAATTCCTTTCTTATCTTTGTTAAAAAAATATCTTTTACTGTTGTACTAGCTCCATCGACATAGTTTTTATACACAATCAATCACATTCCGGAGTCATATAAAATAGATACATTTTTCTCGATTGATGAATTTGGGCCGTAAAAATACCGTTGAAAATTTGGTATACCTAATTTGAAAAAAAAAATGGATCTACTAATTTTGAATAGAAATATCTTTATCGTACATATTGAAATATTCACTCACCACTTTAACAAGAGGTTGAAAAAAGTACATAAAATATGGATACCTTTTCTGGCTCAACATTTGTTTAAGCAAAAAGAGCCTTTGTAAAAAATAAAAAATAAAAATATAAAATATTTTGTTTCAAATTCGGCTGAGGTAAATATGGTGAATACAATCAAGCTTGTAAAACCCAGATTCACTTTCCAAGTGTTTGCATTACGTATCGATAACAAAAACCACTTGAATCGCGATTTCTCAAATTCTGTTTTTGTTTTACGTTCCCGTACTTCTGGACATAGTTCCATTTTTGGGAGAAAATGTTTCGCTTATTCTCTAATTACCGGATCCGGGCTGTACGGGAAGAAACCTTCTGTTAAAAAACGCGTTCGTGGTCAACTTCCTGATACCATGACATTTTTTTTGTCGGTACATGCAACAGTGTGCAGGATATAAGAGATCAGCTGTTTTTTTTCCTGGTTTTTCTTGTATACTTGTTAAACGCGTAATTTTTCTTTGCCATTCATATTAAAATAAGCAAGTGCCATAAAAAAACTAAATCATGAACAGTTTTTGTGAAAATTTACGAAAGAATTGAAAGTAGTAAAGTAAATAAAAAGTGCTTAAACTAATGTAAAAAAAAAAATTACGAGGGCAGCTTTGCTTTCTTGATGCGAACACTGGAAGCCCGAAAAAAGAAGATGGTAACGTAAATTTTAAATTAGCTTATTTTCAGTCTCTTTTTATTATTTATTTAAATTTCTTTCAAGGCCTAACGCCCGTAACTATAAAATGGCATATCGTAGAACTGCCATATTTTCGGTGGTCTTTTACCCACTTCATATCGGATGCAACGTCTTCGAAATGTCCCATTCTGATGCTGCCTGCATCTTACAATCGGATAGCCGTTAGCGAAACACTTCTTTCTTGTGCCAAAGTAGACGCGTCCCAGTGTATTTGACATCATATCGTTGATGGCTTGCAAGCAGTTTAAGAAAGTTTGCTCGCAAGTGCACTTCAAACTGAAAATTTGCAGGTTTATGAAATGTTACTTATTGCCCGTTTACATACATACATACATATGAATGCTAATGCAATCCATTGAGGCTTACTTACATAGGAAACAAGTCCGTGTTGTTCAGTCCATATAAAGTTTGCCTTGGTTCTAATATCTCTTCACAGTGGTCGTGAGCGCGACAACATGTGTCCGTTTCACGCTGTGTACCCAAATCATCGTAATTTGCAGCGGTATTACCAGGACCACACCATTTTGTACCTGGTACTGTTATGCCAGTGTGTGGAACTGGCGGTAATGCCTGTTTATATATGTCTTCATCTTCAAATATAGACTCATCTTCAAATGCGTAGGCAATCGTAGCCAAAATGAGGATAATGAAAATTGAAAAACCAAATTTAAGGCAATACATTCTGCTCAATGAGTTGTTAATAAACTAAATTTTGAATGCGAAAATTTCAAGCCCCAGGCTACTGTAAATCTCAGATTGTTCAGAAAGCCTAATGACCTCAAAAGTAAACGGGCCTGATAAGGCATGTTTACCTTGCGACGAAATTTTGTTTTACGAATATTTATTTACTTAGGCATACAGAGTGGATTTTCAAGCACATACATATGTACATTAGACTGCATCACCAAAAAAGTTTTCTCACCCTTTTTAAAACCTTTACAATAAAACTCATTCACGTCCCAATTTTTTCTTTATCAAATACCAACACATGGAATGAGGCTCGTTTCTTTTCATATATGTAATACTTCTATATTGGCAGTAAGCTAACTTCTCAATGTGTAAGCATTCCGAAATCAAAGCGAGACAGTCTAGTACCGTTTTTATCAATGTATTGTGTACTTGAGTGCCGTTTTTGTATATGTGTTGTGTACATGTTTATTTATAAACGTATGTGTTCCTTTTCTTTCGTACGTGTTTATTGATATATCTGTACTGTAGTGTTTTCGGACGGTACTAGCTCTTACTGCCAATATAGGAGTATTACATATATGTTTCTTTTACCTTTCTCTTTCATGCTTTGAATGAGCTTATTTGCAAAGAAATAAAAAGGGTGAGAGAATTCCTTTCCAATGATATTTTTTCATACATATGTCTGAATCGGTAAAGTTTAGGCTGAGTTATTCAAGTTTTTTAAACCAGTCTTTGAAAAAAGTTCAACAAACAGTATCAAAAATATCATTATTGTGATTCCGTTGAATTTTTTTTTTTTAATATATTTATGCAAATTTCTTAAGCTTAAACTGTTTTGTCGTTTTGGCGTTGAAATTTTTTTTAAATATATTTATGCAAATTTCTTAAGCTTAAACTGTTTTGTCGTCTCAGGTGACTTTTTGCAAAAAATACTTAAAAAAAATTGTTTTTATTCATAAAAACACTAAATTTTTGGAGGCATTTTCGAATTGGTCCAGCTCACGTAAATCGCAATATTTTTGGGAAATATTTCGGTGAAAGTCCTGAAACATAACAGATTTTAGAATTCCGGTGGGAAAACAGTACAGTTTGTATGGGGAGTGATGCAGTCTAATGTACATATTTATGTCTGTATGTAAAATTCTCTCAATTATGCAGTTAAATGCAATATGCATACATATGGATCTACGTAAAAGGTATGCAAGTGTTTACTCATCTGAAATATGTACTATTCCATTAAAGCTCCTGATTCAGCGTACTACCTCTTTTCTTTCTAGTTCTCCAGTTAAGGTGTTACCTTAATAACATAAAAACATGGCATTGCTATAAAAATTGTGGGAAGTCATTTAACCTTAATTTTTTTTGTTAAACACATAAGTATGTATATGTACGTATTATCCCAGTGGGAAAAGGTAATGTCTGGGAATGCAAAAAGTAATGGATAGCTCCTATAACTAAGCTGGCCACCGTCCGCCTTTGAGGAGGATTGCCCTCCTCAAGCGTGAGTTGTCTTCCTCAAAAATTTTGTCCTCCTCTGTCCTCCTTTTAAGTAAAAATTTCCTCCTTGTCCTCCTTTTCAAGTTTTATAGCAGCGATGAAGATTTAAAGAAATTTCGTGCAGAATACTATTATTTCCTAATCGTACACAATAATTTTAATTAAAAGGCGTTTACATTGTTCAACTTTCAGTTAAATGATGTAAGCTTTTGATTCAACTAAAGAACGCAAATCTATAAGAGGAGACAGCACGTTATAATTATAGCAAGTGTGAACATCAGGAGCGTGCCTTCTCCTTTCATCCAATTACAAAACGTATTTGTGCAAAAAACTAATTAGCGATTTGGCTACGTATAGGTACCACACTACCAAATATATAATAAAAAATATCATCACGAAAATTGTACGAGAAAATAACTTTTATAATTTATCTTAGCATTACCGTGCATTACTAGCGTAATTACATATTTCCTTCTGATTGACTTAGTCTCTTTATGAGTATTATTACTAATACTATTGGGTTTTAAGTAAAAATTCTATTCTAAGTTTGGCTTTTCATGCAAATTGCTAAAGATTCTAGCATGTAGGTGCATGTCGTCAATAAAAATAAAATTTGACGTACTGGAAAAGAGCCAAAGATGTATTTAATTTAGCACACCTAGATATAAAAAAAAAATAACATAATTATTGGAAAGGGAAAAAATTAGATTTCAGAGACCTGCGTTATCCAATAGAAAACAGCTAAATTTGTCTACCATACTAAAAAAACAACCGCCACTAAGTTTTCGCGGAAATGGAAATCTGGTTGTCAAATTAACTGACAGTTCAGGGCTGGCAATATTTATGAAGATTACTTGCTGTCTCCAAAGGCAAAAGTATTTATCTTGATAATGTTATCAGGCAAAATTTTGCCAGTGGAGACGGCATATTGCTCGTTGCAAGCGATAGTTATCAGAGCTTTTATCTTGATAAATATTGCCAGCAATTTGATACTTTGACAGCTACATTTTCATTCGTGGCGGCAACATTATTGATATTTTAATATAACAGCAAAAAGTTAGCTGTTTTCTATTAAAATAGTTGTTACTATGTACTTGGACGTGAAATGGCATATTTTATAATTTTTTTAAACGATTAAATCCGGCAAAATAGCCATCTAACAAATTATTTTATCATGATAAAAAATGCACACGCATAAAATTTTGTCTCTGATAAAATTTATATCAGGCAATAAAAATGACAGTTGGTAGGCAAAAACTTTAGCCTGTGGAGACGGACCATTATCAAGCTCTGATAACACTATGCGACAGTCAAAATCGGGATGGGATGAAACCAACGGGAAATATTATAATGGTCAAAAACAAGTTATACGTGGCGCGGCGTTTCGCTGGGTCACGTCTAGGAATCGAGATATAACGATTTGAAGTTAGTAACTATCATATAGGGGAAATTGTCACCTTTTTTTGAGATACCTTCACTTAATTGTGAATAAAAGCGAAACGCGTCCATCGATTTTCATGATCTATGTCTCATTTTGCTTAAAGGTTATGTGACTTTGCGTGAAAGTAATACGACTTGCCTTTTTTCCGTTTTAGATTTTTTATGAATTTAAAAAATAAAAAAATTTAATATTTTAGGCAAAAAATATTTTTTTTCTTCATACATTTATTTTTACCGGCAAAACTGTTGATTATATAGAAAAATGAACAGATTAAAGGAATTGTAATTTTTAATTTTTTTAGATTTGTTTGAGCAAACTCGGACTAGTGGTTCTCGAGTTATGTCAAAAAAAAGACCACCAAAGGTGACAATTTCCCCTATATGATAGTTACTAACTTCAAATCGATATATCTCGATTCCCAGACGTGACCCAGCGAAACGCCGAGACACGTATAACTGCTTTTTTACCGATATAACTTTCCCCGGTAGTTTGAACCCTTCCCGATCACTGACCCCTACCATTTGTCTCACAGTGTAATTATTGCTTTCCATGAGCAATATGCTGTCTCCATTGACTATATATATATTGTCTAATAACATGACCAAGATAAAGCGTTTGCCTGTGGATTTAATATTTCCACTAGAATTAAAATGTCTACGAAAAAAGATGCCACTTGACAGACTACTTAAAATGAGATTTTCAATTAATATTGTTATATTGAATAAAATGAATAACATATGTTTGTAATATGTTTCGGTCTTATAATTATGCAACGCAGTGTACTATTAAAAGGCTTATTACACGGTATGTATTTGCATATGTAAATGCTACTTTTTTGTATCTACTCGTATGAACGCACCAGAAAAGTAGTATTTACATATGCAAATACACATCGTGCAAGAGCGCTATAACTTGTTTGGCTTGTGTTTACCAACACTTTTTTCACAATGGTAACTTATTCGTTATTTATGTGTTCAAATAACTATAAAACACATTTTTTGGGTTTACAAAATTCTCCGTCCTCCTGGAATGGTAAAAAATTGTGGTCACCTTAAGCTATGCGCACCTTGGTGTCATTACAAGCATTCCTCCTTTGTTTATTCTGATTGAAAAATAGGCCTGCTGAAGCACCGTACGACTGCCCAATACGTACGGCCATAAGCATGAAAAGTGGAGTTCTTGGGGTCATTTGGAGGTTCTATCTGGGAGCCCACAATGGCGTAACGCTGTGGTGGGTTTCGGAACACGAAGGGTTTAAAGCAGCCCTGGGAAGGGAAAAAATCTAATCGTGGCAACACTGCATACATATTTAACTCCAACCTTGGAGAAATTCATAGTTCTCAAGTTGATATCCAACATCATTCTCCAACTCATCTCTAACCGACGCGCAGATACGTAAAAAGTGATAGAGAAACGAATTTTTAATTATCAAGTGAAAAAAGTTGAGCTCAAACCTAAATGTTTGTTGGGTTTTTGCATTATTCTAGCAGAGAACTTAGATAAGTATCTAAGTTCTCTGATACAATCAGCTGAGTTTTGTTTTGATCTGATAACTGCGTTTGAGCATTTTAAATAAGTGAAAGAATTTTTTAATTACAAAATACCTAGATTTGATTNTACAATCAGCTGAGTTTTGTTTTGATCTGATAACTGCGTTTGAGCGTTTTAAATAAGTGAAAGAATTTTTTAATTACAAAATACCTAGATTTGATTGCTCTTAGAAAATGTTGCTTAGGCATTTAATAGGTTCCGCTAAAAGTAAAGTGTATAAAACAAACCAAACTAAAAGTATAAGACGTAGCTCAATACGTGCTATGAGCTATGTACAGGGCCAGGAACCAGAGCCAAAAATACGTGAATATTTCTATTTTATAGATCATGAGGGAATGGTAAGTTTCTATTTAGTTTAAGATTGTAAATTACTGTGAATATTAATAGCGGTAAAATTTGAAATCCTTTCAGCTTTTCTTGGACGATGCTAAAATGAAAAACTTTACCTCGTGCTTCAAGGAAAAGAAATTTCTCAAGTTTTTCTTTAGTCGTATTAAATTGAACGACACAAACCGCTATCGAGGGGACTTTCCGTATCTATCACTATGCGGACGCGAAAGAAATTTTATACGCTGCGATGATACACCAATTGTTTTTACACACGTGTTGCAAGGCGAGAATGGTAATTAGAACCAGTACAACTGTGTGTATTGTCTGTTGTAAACCCCTCTCAAAAATCTCTTTTTCCATTAAAGGCAATGAACGGTTATCGTACGCACATGGTGGAGAACAGCTTACCACCGACTTTCTTCCACAAAAAATTTATATGAACCCAGAGACAGGTCGCGTTTATCATCCAGCCTGGTCCAAAGTAGGTGGCATTGGTCTGATACGCTCAAAACTAGCTATTGAGCTGAGTCGTAACTTCGAATTTATGAACAATGAGGAAGAAGCGCCAATACATTTTACGTGGCGTGGCCACCGCTTACAATTGGAAAATGATTGGGTCGCGCATACGCAGCGCTATGGAATGTTTAAACAAGAAGCATGCAGTTAAAGTCATAAATTTAAAAATCAGGTAAATTTTTAATTATTTTAAAATTTTTAAGAATATTTTGTGTAATAAAACTAAATACGAACAATGCAGTAAACTAAGCTTATTTGTAACGTTTTCTATATATGTAACTACTGCGTACATATGCCCAGTTTCATTAATCCACGCTAAGCGGTTTGAATTCACCTTCCTTAACCCATGAAAGTCCATTTGTTGGGACGGCTGGACTTTCAGCTGCCTCCTTGCCTGCAAAAATGCGATCTCGTACGGGCCCATGTACATCGGCATCGAACTTCTCGAATACTATATAATGCGGATCTTCAGTAGGTGGTTCATCGTAGATACGATCTTTGCTAGCTGTAGCACAGTCCTTGGCACGCGCTATGAATTCAGCACGATTTTGTGTAAGCAACTCTGCAGCTTCGGCATTGTTATATTTGGCGCCAGTAGCGGCGAGGCGTGTACATTCAATAGGATCTACAAATATAGCTTGAATATATTTAAGCACTTGCCAGATGTGATCTTCGCCGCTGCGCCAATAAGGAAAAGCGCACGAAATATCTAAGGAGCCAGTGTAGGGGCAAATTAGTGGATGTGTAATTTCATTTTGGAAAATGATTGTCTAAAAATTTACAAAGAAATACCGTCAATTTTTAAATACATACGTAGTGGATTATGTGTTTTCTTACAGGCAGAGTTTTGTCATCAGGAAATTTATCTGGCAAGAGTATTGTGAAGCGAAATACTGCATCTACGTAAAATCCTTGACGAACAAAGATCACGCCAAACCACACTGCGTTTATTGAAAAAAGTTTAGTTACATCTATAAATATATGCATGTGCATATAAGCAACAATAAAAAACTTACATAGCGAGTTTCCATATGAGGGTACAACATAAACCCCGCCTATTTTTTCCGACTCAATCATTTTGCTATAAAGATTAGACTTAGCAGTTATGAGATGGCTGTAAGTATGTGGACCGAATATTTGAACTTACTATTCTGCAAGTATTTTATATTCCTGTTGTATGGTGGTTAGCAGTTTATCATCTTCCTTATGTGCGTCCAGTGTCATCTTTAAGGAATATTTTGGTGAAAATGGCTAATAATTGTGATGAAAAGTGCAATAAAAAATAAATAAACTTTAACAACTGTCAGTAGCGGTTGGGATGGCAAAAAAAAATCAAATAATCGATTAATTAATCATATGATTAATCACAAGCAAAAAAAAATTTAATTGCAATTATTGAGAAATAATCGATTAATCGAATTTTTAAAGGCACTTTTTTACAGTAAGTTTTCACAAAAACATTTTTCCATAAAAAATTTCTAACTCTTGTTAATTAGCTGTAAATAAAATTAAACGAGTATTTTTAATGACGATAATTATTTATTATTTAACCAAGTGTGCAAAAACAAAAGCTTTGATAAATGTTTTGTTGTTAATCGGCTGCGTTTCTCGGTGGTGGTAGCACCATACATATTATTTAAGTTCGCAAGAACTTCATTACTGAGGCCAATGCCAACTGATCTTTGTAATCAAAGTTTTCGAACCTCGGGTCGAGTAAAGTTGATGTAGCTATCAAAAAAGAATTTTTCGATGGCTGGTCTTCAGACAACTACAGAACTCATATTTCTTGAAAATGTTTTAACGATTATTTTGCAATTAATCGATTAATAAAACTACGATACAACTCAATCGTAAATTGAACAGAAATGATCGATTAATTTAATAATTATTAATGATGTTAATCGCTGCCATCCCTAAGTGGCGGTGCTGCCAGTTGAGTAGTAAGCGAGTTATTTTTACCTGCATTGTTATAAAAATGTGGTTAGTCAGTTACTAGCTTTAAATTTAATAACTATTAAATTAGTTATGATAAAATAATTAGAGTTTTTGAATCAAACCCTTTTATTTAAGTTTTAATGAACTCTGCGAATTAAAAAAATTGAGCCACTTAAACACAGCTCATTCAAACGTCAAAGTAATCACATGTTAACAAAAACAAAAAGAAAACATAAAAACAAAAAACTGCCACTGTGTTTTGTTCATAAAATACATAGCCAAAAAAGGTGAACGGAGCAGGTAAATTTGCATATTTTGAAAATTTGCTAATTTAATTAGTAAACTTAATTAGGTTTCCATCTTTTCTAGGCAATGTTTATAACAAAAAGGGCCTGCAAACGGTACATATACATAAAACTACCAATAAATTTCTGAATGCTGAAACTGGAATTGAAGGCCAACAAAAAACAAAGCACTATTTTTGTCAATCAGCAGACGACGTTAAGATAGCATTAGTAACACATTTGCTATTTGCTAATTCGCAGATTAACACTCGTCATACAACCTGTCTCTGCTGAACAAACAAAAAAAAAAGAGTGCATCAGCATAGTAAGCATTAACAGGGCTTAAGTGAGTAATACATATGTAGTTTGAATTGCAATAACTAAAGGGTATATAATTAACGCTTTTAGCTATGAGCGCATCGATCATTGCCAATTTGTGCGTATACATTCTTACTTGGAATGTGGGAACACATCATCCGGATGATATTTCCATGACCAGTGCGTTATCCTTAAATGGAACTACTGCATGCCCGGAACAGCGATTGCCGGATATCTATGTTGTGGCATTGCAGGAGGTTAGCACTCATGCCAAAAATCAATTCCTCAACATATTCCATGATGATCCGTGGACATTTAAAATAAGTGAGCACCTCAGTCCCCACGATTACATCAAAGTGGGGACGGAGCAGCTGCAGGGAATACTTATTATGTTGTTTTCGCAGCCCAAACATGAGCCCCACATGAAGGATGTGGAAGTGCAAAATACGCGCACAGGTTTGGGCGGCTTATGGGGCAATAAAGGTGCTGTAAGTATTCGGATGAGTCTTTATGGTACCGGTGTGACATTCGTTGGCACACATTTAGCTGCACATGACAACAAGTTGAGTGAACGCATTGAAGACTACAATCAAATTGTGAATAATCATCACTATAAAACACCGAAATATCGGAGCATCTTCGATCACGATTATGTTTTTTGGTTTGGTGATCTTAATTTCCGTTTAACCGGCACTGACTCTGCATGGGATGTGCGCTCATTAGTAGAACATGGGAAGTTGGATGAGTTGTTGGAACGCGATCAACTATCATTAGTGCGATCAACAGGCAATGCATTTGCACTACTCACCGAAGAATTGCCTACTTTCCCACCCACTTTCAAATTCATCGAAGGCACATCCGAATATGATTTAAAACGGCGCCCAGCATGGTGTGATCGCATCTTACATCGTGTGCAAGAGAATCGATATCCAGATATTATATTGAATATTACACAGCTATCTTACAAATCACATCCGGATTACACGCTTTCCGATCACAAACCCGTCTCAGCCGAATTTCTCTACAAAATAGAGGCACAAACGCAAACAGATGAAGAGTTGTATGAGCTAACGCATGGTGGTGGCAGTACCGAAACACCTTTAGCTAGTGTAACTATCTTACTTGTTACAGCTTTATTTATATTGTACTAAGCAAACGGAACGATACTTGTTTGTCATAATTTTTTCTTGTTTACAGCCCGATAGCGAAAATGCTCGTCTTGCGCCAATATATTAAAACACAAGAAAAGCGTTTACAAAACAAGAATCTTAGGCAACAAGTTTGATAAGCAGAAAACATGAGCTTGGTAGCGTGATAAGTGTCAAAGTGCCCTGCAAATTAAACGTATTTAAGCAAATTCTGTATTTTATCTCAAATTTGGTTGTATTAAATTTAAAACGTCCAATTAATGTTTTTGTAGAATATTTTTGCATATTAACATTACCTGAATCTCACTTTGAACAGAGATGTCTTATTTGATATTTCGTTCTTAACACGTCTTTCAATTTTATATTTAATTATGGCATATAAATTGTTATCAAATTATGTTAATTGCTTATTACTTTCAAAGTTACCAATTTTGCACTTTTCAATGATAGCAATACTAACCGTACCTCCAAAGTGATACATATTACAATGTAGCATAATATATTCAAAAAAATTTACATTACTCGAATAAAACTAAAAAAAGATAATTCTTTATAAATAAGACGACTATATACTCTTGAAACTGTACATCCTATGTGCATACATATATGTATAATATACATATATAAATTTCCTTGCATATGCTGTTAATTTTTAGAAACTAATGCCGCAAAACTAATGGAAAAATGCTATTAAACGGAAAATTATATGAAAGTGTCACTTTATAAAGCTTTTTCTCATGTATGTACATACATAGGTTTTAAAATTTATTTGCCCTTTAAGCACAAACTTCGTTTTGAAAACATGTGTTTTAAGGGCAGCTAAATTTTGAAAACTACATGAGAAAACGGCACTAAATCTATTAAATTTGTATAAAATCTTATTGTGCTCCTGAAATGCTCAGATTTCGAAAAGGTTGGAATTAAAGTAGTATTTTCTTTTTGTAATATACAAACATAAATCTGTAAAAATTGCCTTTAGAAAAAAAATGTTCACATATCAAAAATCGGCCAAATGCGAATTCTCGTAATGATCATAGTTGTAGTATACATACATATATAACGGCGACTTAGCGCATTTTTTGTACACATTCATACATACCATGTACACTCAGTTATATTGCGAATGTTATGTGCAATTAAGTATGTACATATATTTGTAATAAAAATAATAAAAAAGACATAACCGAGAGAAAAATCAGCATCTTTTACAATTTATGGTACTAAACTTTTCGGTAATCATTGCAGATCGAGCTCTCTGGAATACAGGGAATACATATACCGAACCTAATGGGAATATGGAAAAAACTGGGGGTGGCATAGTTGAGCCGCACTTCCAGAAAAATAGATACAAATGGGCAACTTCCTCACCATCTTTCAAGCGGAAATTCATGCAATAGAAATTTGCAGCCTAGAATGCCATAGAAATATATCCGTTTTATGTCGGACAGTCAAGCAGCTCTGCTGGCGCTGAAGTCCCACATAATAACTTCAAGTACTAGGCCTGATTGCTCAGTGTTCTAAAAGCTCTTGGAATCAAGAACACGGTTTTACTGAGATGGTTACCGGGTCATCAACGTACTGATCTCAATGAAGAGGCGTGCTGCCTAGCTAGAGGTAGCATTTCATGGTCCAAAACCCATGTATGGACCAACAGCACCAAACAGGACCAAAGCAGACATACATAAAGGGGATCATAAATAACTGGGTAGATAAAATGTTCAACATTCATTGGCTGGAATGTCCTAGGCAGAGACAAGCCAAACGATTTATCTGCACTCCAAATTAGGCTTTAAATAATTCCATTCTTAATTTATGGCCTCAATATTTTCGCTGGCTACTATACGTGACACTGCTCTCGATCAGTGATAGCATTTTCGCAAAACAATCTAACTACGATGGAATCAGTGAATAGGCGCTGAATAATACCAATAGTTTATGCTACTGAAAAATTGCCCTAAAATGTTTTTACCGTTACAATTGGAACTAAATGATGACTGATCTGTTGCAGTTAATTTAGAGCTAACTATCATTTAGATATAAGCTAAAAAAACATTGTACTTATACAAAATTTTTCTTTGTAAGGCGAGCCGAAGGTGTTACAACACTAGTGTTTCTTAAATCATAGTAAAGTCGTGATTCATTCACTTCTTTTCTCATAATAAATAAATAAATTATTTGCCTATAGTTGGTAAGTGCTCTGCTTGCTGTTGTTATAACATTGGCCAAAAAATATTTTCCCCAAATGTTGTAGTGCTATGGCACGCTTTTGCTTGTTTTTTTTTTTTTTTTTTGTAGTACATATGTATAGTTCTCTTATAAAAATTAACAAGCATTTTAAGTAAATTGCTGACAATGGACTCATTTCCCTTTTAAATGTCGAATTTGTAAACTCCCTTTCTTTGTTATCAACAAATAAGGTCAATGTTTAATCCCTTAATTACAAAAAAAAGAAAATAACAACATATAGCCGAAAAGTACCCATAATTAAATTTTTGTTCCATGCATGAAGTTATGTTGCTGATAAGATAGTACTTACGATTATGTGCGTGATTCACCAATCTTACAATCTAATTGCAGTTGTTCACATTTGCCTGGTTATCAGGTTATGTGATTATATGGTTATATTTTTTATTCAGTTTTCAACAATAAAATACACTACACAATAATAATTTTTAACCAGATAACCGGCAAGTGTGAACAACCTCATTATAAATCAATCGACTCTTCGATCAGTGTATGGTCACTATTAGTCTGTTCCAATAGCAGTCCGGTTTACAGGATATAGTCAGAACTTACAGGAAGTCGTTCCTATTGACATAAAACCTGTAATGTACGTACATATATGCATTTTTATAACGTATTTTCACGAGCACTGTGTATTTAAAAAATTAAGGCAGGAAAAAAGTATTAATACAGTATTTTGAAAAAAAACCTCAGTATCCATTTTTGGAATTAATAAAAAAGTATTACACTGCCAAACGAATATGCTAGAGAAACTGTTTTCAACTAATATTTTTTATGAGTATTATGTATTTTCCGCTAACACCGTGCGACAGAAACTTTTACACACAAAAAAATCAATATATTCGTAAAACTAGGGGCCAAGGACGATTAAGTATTGAAAATGTCCTTTTAAAATTTCCTACTTGAAAATACTTGAAAATTTGCAATATTTATTTTTGAAAAAATTACATGCTAGATAATGCCTAATACATACACGACCACATCCTCGAATTTCGTTCTTCTAACTTTATTAGCTTAGAAAAAAAAATTTTACATAAAGGGTTTTTGTTTCAATACCTATTTGTACAAATATTTTATTTATTTTTTTTCAAATTACATAATTTTATATTTCATTTGGTACCCATATTGTTGAGTTTTTTAAATAATTTTTCTAATATTCGTGAAATTTTGTAAGTCCTTGGCAATGTTTTGTGTTACGAATAACCCAAAACCCCAAATTTGAGCTGGAAGATATTCTAAAAATATGCAACACTTATCTATAAATCGTCTTAACGTAGGTATGTATGTGTACTTTAATTAAAACTTTTGCACATATTTATGTAGTTCTGCCTGCGCTGCCCATGCCTGATCCAAATTAATCGGCCCTATGCGGAATATCGTCATCGTCGACGATCTTCAGCACATCAGTAACATGGCTGACGATGGCCGTATCGTCACTTTTACTGACGATGACGATAGCACAGTATACCAGTAGAAAAGGTTTTTGTTTTTGTAGCTGTTTCGTGGTGAAAGTCCTTTATGGGGACCAAATTTCGCCACAAGAAATTGAGCGCATGGTTGCTTTTGCGTCCCAAAAGAATGAATATTAGAAAACATTTAAAAAAAGTCTAAGGTAATACAATTATATGCAACTAAAAATAATCACAATAATTTGCACTTATGAGTTAATGTGATAATCATGTGTAAAACTCTTTTCAACTATTATTTTTCACAAAATAATTTTGCGGATCAGTTTGCTCTGAGCGCTTGTGTTGTTTACCAAGAAAATGCAGCCCTGTTGGTTTTTATTTCTGTATCGCATCGCGGTGAGTTTCTATTTCTTGGTAATTCGGTTTGTGAAATGGTAAACAAATTATTGAAATTTATTTATTTGATGTGTATAAGATTTCATTAATGCNTAAGATAGTTTGCATTTAACTCATAAAGTACATATTTAACTACAAATATTTTTAAGATCATTTCGAATTGCAAAAATAGCGCTAATTAGTTGTATTGAAGTATAAAACATTTTATTACGGTCATATTTACTTATAAAGCGCACAACAATATTTCTCTCGCCAGTTATCCGATGTTAAAATTTTTCACCACATTATTTTGCTGCACAGCACCCTGAATGCGGCAAAACAGTTGCTGGCAACCCTCAAGTCCTTTATGGGGACCAAATTAACAGCCACAACAACAAAAACCTTTTCTACTGGTATACTGTGGACGATAGTCAGCATAGGGCCGAATATGTGCATATCTATTAACTGGAGCATTCATCTACTCAGTGTGATTTACCTTTCTTTTGGCTATTGTTATTATAGCAAAATACTATAGTATATGTAGCTGTAGCTACATGTACACACATAGATGCGTATGTACGTATTTAGGTATATACTATTGTACATACTAATTCCGAGAGCTTATGCCGTTGAATTTATTATTATTATTTTTTTTTACTGACTAAACTCTGACTACGTGTACCTTGTGAAGGCTACGGGGATCCACCGAGACAAGCATTAGTTATAAAAAGTTTGACATCTAATCAATATAACTTTTTTGATAAAAAGGGTATATAATGATTAATATAATGATACGGTTTCAGGACACGCATAATGATAAAGTTTTGACTGTTTATTTATTATAAAAATATTTTTCATTCTTAGTCAAAATCAGATAAATCAAGCTTCAAACTTTTTGCTAAACTTAGAAAAATGCACTAAAAATCACACCCTTTTAATTCAGAATTTCTAGAAAAATTTTGGGTACCCGTATTCTGTTCTGTAGCCCATTCAATTCCAGTATAATTACGAGCGAGTTTGAAGTGCCTACAAAATACCTTTGATTTTTGGCAATTTTTTGGTTGATGGTGTTTCGCAACAAATTTCCAAAAAAACAACGGTAATTGTAGTCATTTGCACTTTATCATACTAGAATTGAATGGGCTACAACCCTAAATAATAGTTTTTTCTAAAAACTCTGAATGAAAAATGATGTAAATTTGATGAATTTTGAAAAATTTTGCAGAAAGTTTGAAACTTGGACTAACATGGTTTTTGTTACAGAAATTAAAAAAAAAAAATTTTAAAAAATTTGAAAAATAATAGTTAAATGTATGTATGTATTTATTTCTACATTTGTGTACATTTAATTAACATGAAATGGTATTATAACTTTGGCTTGATGTTTGTAAGAAGAAGAAAACCGCCAAAATAGCGTAAGCGACATTTTTTTCAAAATTTTCTGTTTGATGCAGAAATGTTCCTAGAGCATCTATGTAGCATTTATTTACTCTGCATTGAAAAAAAATAATTTGTTTTAAACTTTTTGCCATATTTTTGAAAAGCAAGGCATTAGAGATAGAATGGCTATCATTTGGGTAGACAAAATTATGAATTAATCGTTAAAATTTGGTTTGAATAAGTTTTCAGTATTCATAATTTTTTTAATATTATTTCTTTTTTATATTCATTACACAGGTTTACAAAAAAAGTGTTTGTATATTGAACCAAACCTCTATATCCCTATGTTGTTTGACGCGCTGAATGCGAATCTGAGGTCGGTTAGCCTCTAGCACGTCAGGTCCGAGGTCATTTGAAGGTCAAGTAGGAAAAAAATTCATTGAATAAACCTGAAAATTCATATATATGGTTTTTTAGATTCGATGAACCCGAATCCGAGGTCCGTTAACCTTCATAATGTCAGGTTCGAGGTCATTTGAGAGTTAAATAGGACAAAAAATTTATTCAATCCGAAAATAGGGGTCCCCTGATTCTTCAAGGTCATCTAGAGGTCATGACAGGGTCATCCCAAGGTCAAATTCCGAAGAATTGTATTGAACTTTCAGGATTATTCAATGAATTTTTCCCTACTTGACTAACAAATGACCTCGAACCTGACGTGATGGAGGCTAACAGACCTCGGATTTGCATTCAGGGTGTCGAAAAACTTAGGAAT